GCCCCCGTCATGGTCCGTGCCGTTCTCCTGGGGCGGTGGGGAGAGGGCTTGCAGAGCGGACGGTCCATCCTCAGGACGAGCCTCGCGGTCTCGAGACCAGGCGGGGGGGCCACAGGGGAGGTGGGCCAAGGACTGCCCTTCCCCAGGGGAGCCCGTGATCGCAACCCGCCTGCCTGGCACCACAGAGGGAGGGGTGCAGGCGCTGGCACTTCTGGGGTGACGCACAGAGGGGTTCCCAAGGGAAGCTTTGCTCAGCAAGCAGTAGAAGGGGTGGCTTTTGTACTTGGCGCATGCTCAGAGGCTCAGGAGCAGAATCAAACGAAAGCTGCTGCGTCCGTTACTAGTAGAGGGAGGCAAGTGGCTTGCAACGCCTGGCTGGCCAGGAGGAGCCCTGCCCAGCCCCCCCGGCAGCCACGCGGGGGACCTTCCGGCAGGGCGGTGCACTCCTCCTGCCCTTCCCCTGCACCCCAAGAGCGGCCCCCCGAGACAGGACTGATTTCTGTGTGAATATCGCTCGTGAGGGTGGAAGATTGTGATTGTTGGCAGGGTGGTGGCGGTGGTGGTATTTGTTTGCAGAAGCCTTTCTGCCTCATCTTTGGCCCCCAGGGTGCGAAGGGGCATCCTGGCAGCGAGGGCCTGCATGCAGTGGCTTCGAAGCCGTGCAGAGAGCTGGCCGAGGGCAGCGCTGAAAGGCATTGCCGCCGGGGGCATGGCAGCCGGCGTCTCCACCCGGCCGGCAGCTCTTGGCGGGGGGAGCACGAGGAGACCCGAAGCCGGCAAAGCCGAGAGGGGCCAGTCCCGAGCCGCCTGGGGCCTCCCGGGCGATGGGCAGCCCCCCGGACTGGGCCCCGTGGCAGCGCGGAAACCGGTGCAGCTGCGGCCTTGAGCTCCAAGCAGTTCCAGCAGCTCTTCCCGCCCCCACGTTCTGCCGCAGCTGCTGCCTCCTGGAGCTGCTCAAGGCCAGCCCCGCTCGGCGTGCGCTGCTGTGCTCCAGCCTGGATGTGACTGAAGCATGCGCCCGTGTGGCCAGAGCCGATTTCTCCAGGGAGGGGGCAGCCAGCCCCCGCCAAGGCTGGGCAGTGGCCCTCCTACGGCAGAAGAGGGGCTGCCCCAGGCGCTCCCCAGGCTGAGGATCTGGCCCTTCGCAGGCAGGCCCCCAGCCCCGTATCGGCCGCTCTGCGGACCAGTGGTGTTCCCCTGACGCACGCAGGCCGTGGCTGCGGGGCTCGCAGGCGCATGTGGCCGAGCGAGCCAGATGCCGCCAGGGAGCAGTCTCCCCGCAGCCTCGTGCCGAGTGGCGGGGGGCCAGGGCTGTGCCTGGAGGAGCCCACCAGCTGTGTGGCCGAGCCGTGGCATCTCCACCTGGACGAAAGGGGCCGAGCCGCGTCGGCCGTGCCCCCTGTGCTCGCAGCAGCCAGGCGGCCCCGGAGAGCACTGTGGCCGGCTGCAGGGAGGGCCACTCCGCCGTGCCGCAGAGCAGAGCGGGAGCCAGTCTCCCCGTCCAGCTCACCACAGAGGACAGGCCTCAAGCCTGCTCCAGAGCCCAGGTGGGAAGGGCCCCGGACAGGCAGCACCAGCTGGGAAAATCTGGGGGTGGGTGGCCACCACTTCCCGGAACGCTTTGCTCAGGAAGAGCGAGCTGGGGGCGGGCGAGGAGAGACCCGGGTGGTGAGGCCCAGCGAGCCGTTCTCTGCGTCTGCCACGCAGGAGCGCAGAGCTCTGGCAAGGACCCGCCTGCTTAACCCACCGGGGAGGGCCGGGACTGAAGGAGTGGTGTCCGGCAGGGCCCAACCTGCCTCGCCTGTGTCCTCAGGCCCAGCTGGCGGGAAGGCATCTGTCGGCCGAGCCACGAGAGCTCGCTGCAGCCACGCACGGCCTGTGCACTCACGGAGAGCCCGAGGACAGGCCGTGCCACGCAGGCTGCAGCTGAGGCACGCTTCCCGATTTTCTCATGCGTAAGCATGCCGGGGCTTGCTCTTGATCGGGGTTCCCACATTCAGGAAGCAAAATATAAGCTGCCTCCTCCCGTTGTGCTTTCCCAGCTCTTCCCAGCTTCCCTCTTCTCCGGGCATCTTTCAAAAGCGGGGCACCCTTGGCGTCAGTGCTTTTTCTTGCTTAGCCCCTGCATGGGGGAGCTGTGAATGCCGGAAAAGAAGCAGCCGGAAGGCTGGACCTGCCCTCCCCGCCCCGCAGGCCCATCTGCTCAGCCTCCCCCCCATTTCTGGGCATGAGGAACAGAGAGCGGGGGCCCAGGCTGCAAATGAATGGCTCCCGCAGCCCAGCCCAAAGCTGGAGCAGCCCCGGGTACTTCGTCCATCAGACGCTTTCCAGACTGACCGCAGCCGCTGCCAGGGTCCCTCCCGCCATTCAGGCGGCTCAGCTCGAGCTCCAGGGCAATCACCTCTCGCTGCGCACATGAGTGATGGATTCGCTGCCAGCCTGGACAGCTCTAAAAGGGGCTAGACAAATTCCATGGCAGAGAAGGCTCTCGATGATGCCTGGGCAGGGCGGCTGCGCAGCAGTGGCAGCGTGAGAGAGGATGCCTCTCGCTGGATCTTGGGGCGCGGAGGGCCCCTGAAGGCACCTGGGCCCGTCCCGTGCCAGGGCAAGGCTTGCTGGCAGCACCTCCAGCAGGTGGCCACCCGCCCCGCCTGGACGTCCCCGCCGAGGAGGGCCCACCTCCTCTCCTCCAGAGGCAGGTTCTGGCCGCTCCGGGCCGGAAGGGCCTGCGGGAGCTGGACTGGCGTTCTTGCGATGCCACCTCCTGGTTCCAGTCCTGCTCCTGGAGCAACCAAGAGCGACTCGGCCCTTTCTTCTGCATTTCAACCTTCTGGGCACCTGGAGACTGTAATCATGCGTCCCGTTAATCCTCTTTCCCAGGATACATTTGCCAGCCCCTTTTCCCACAGGTCCTCAGAGGACTTGGCCTCCAGACCCCCTCCCCCACCACCCCGGCTGCTCCGCTTGGGCAGGCCTCCGGCCTGGCACTGCCCACCTTCACATGCGATGCCCAGAACTAGATGGCCTGATTCACGCCGGACAGCGTGGAGCTGTTAAGTCCCACGATCGGGACACACGGCGCCTGCCGAGATGGCCCAAGGTGGCTCCAGCCACTCGCGTGCAGCCTGGGCGGCGGCGGGCGGCCTCCGTCCTCCGCACGCCTCCCACCGCCAGCCACCCACCCTCTCGGCTCGGCAGGAGGCTCCCTGGCGTGGCTCCCTCCGGCGTGTGCGGCTCTTGTGCTTGGCCTGGCCTTAGAAAGTGAGCCACGCCGGGACGTGCTCCGCGAGGGACCTGCCCCCCGGCCCCCCCCTTCCGTGTTCGGTGCAGCAGTGCAGACAACGGCCGGCTGCGGGAGGGGGACGCTGCTGGCACTCTGTGGCGGTGGTGGAAATAGTGCGCGGAGTGGGGGCAGGACATTTCTCCCCCCGCCTGTGGCACTCCAACCCAAAGGGTTCCCCCATGAAGCTGATTGGTGGGAGGCTTAGGAGCGATCAGCAGAAAAGCTCCTTCACCCAGGGCAGCATAAACAGCGGGATTTGCTGCCGTGGGGAAGCGGTGCTGGCCGCCCGTCTGGATGGCTTCAAAAGGGATTTGACGGACTAATGGAGGGAGAGAAGGCTGTCAGTGGCCATTAGCCTTGCTGGCTGAGTGCCGCCTCCTTCCCCAGCGGCGGCCGAGAAGCCGGGCAGGGGGAGGCCCTGGGCAGGGGGTCTGCCCCGTGTGAGCGGAGTCCTGCACTGGGCAGCCTCTCCCTCTGGCCCTGCTTGCGCCTGGCATTGCTGACCCGGCCCCCGTGGCTGCCTGGAGCATTTCCCAGGGCCACTGCTGCTTGCCCCTCGCGGGTCGGTGCGCTCGCCCCGCCGTGCCTGTGGACTGGCCTGGGACACCTGTGCCCAGACATGTGCAGGTGGTGTTGACCCCCCCCCCCCCAGTCCGGCCCTTGTGCACTGCAGGGTGTGGATCCGGCGGACGGCCCCTCCTGTGGCTGGAGGTGCAGAACAGGATGGCCCCCTGGGGCACTGGGGCCAGGGAAAGGGGGCTCCGGGGGGTCTGCCGGCAGGATGTGCATGCTCTTCTGCGTCCTTCCCTTTCCCGGCCTGCTGCGGCATTTGGGGCGGCTGGAGAGCCCGGTGCCGCCTCTCCTTCGAGGAAAGCGCTTTCTCTCTGGGGTGGGCAGCAGCTTCTGAGCCCCACCGGCTGTGGAGAGGGGAGATTCCCACATGTGGGGGGAGGGGTCCTGCTGTCCGCCCTGGCCTTGATCTGGAGGGGGACGGGGCGGAGGCGGGGCAGCGCTCTCGGCAAAACGGGCTGCTGCTCCGCAGAGGGGGCTGGGGAGCCCGAGGTGCACCAGGGCCCATGAGCCACTGACTCCTTTCTCCTTCCCAGGTGCTTGGAGGCTGCTGTCAAGGGCACATGCCAGCTGCTTTGACCTGGCGGAAGACAGGGGTCCCCGATGGCCGAAGCGGACGCCGTAGAGGTGCTGTGCAGACGGCGCTTGCCCAGGGACCCTTCCACCTCCTGCTGAGCGGGGACACCTCCCCCCACACCTGAACGAGCCTCTCCGTCTCGGCACGTCGGGCCAGTGGGACGCCCTCGTCAGTGACTGAGCCTACGGGGCCGTTTGCCCCACTGGCCCCCAGGAGGAAGCAGCGGATTACAGTCGGCCCGGCCTGCGGAGGGGGGCGGGAGCAGCGGCCTCCCATCCTGGCTCGGGGCGTGCGGACCCTGCTGTGGAGACGGCCCCGAGGCCTTCCTCGAGGGAGCCCGTGGCAGCCGTGTCCCGCCCAGCCCAATGCCGGGGCCTTTCCCGCCGGGAGGGAGACTGCCGGCGCTGGGGCGGGGGGCTGATCCCGGCCCGCCGGCTTCCTGAGCAGGGTGCTGTCCAGGGATGCCAGGACCTTCGCCCACCGACGGCTGATCCCAGCATCACCCGCGGCTCCTCTCCCCGCCCGGAGGATGCCTCTGGCCCCCGGGCCCGCTTCCCCAGCTCTGCGGTGATGGCGCCTGCCAGCTCCCCGGGGACCCTGCTGCTGCTGCTGCTGCTGCTGGCGGTCTGGGTGCCGGGCTGCCCCGTGGCCCTCTCCATGCGCGTGGAGCCCCGCGGAGCCCGCCTGGAGGACCCCGACGGCGACGGCGACGCCGCGCTCCTCGGCAGCGGGCGCGTGAAGCGCGGGTGGGTGTGGAACCAGTTCTTCGTGGTGGAGGAGTACACCGGCACGGAGCCGCTGTACGTGGGGAAGGTAAAGTCTGCTGGGTCACTGCGGTGGGTGGGGGCTGCCAGCCGCGGAGCAGGGGCAGCAGGGCAGCCCTTCCTCCCACGGGCCGGGGGGCCAGCTCGTGCGTGCGCGGCCAGCCGTCTCTCGGCAGCTCTGGGGCCGTGGCCTCACGGGGTGGGGCCGCAGGCCTGCGGCAGGGCAACTCGCGTGCTCAGGCCGGGCGTGTCCGGGTTCCCCCCAAGAAATGGCTCCGGTTAATCCCCACGCGCACAGGAGCACAAGTGGTGGCCCCCGAGCAGCCTGCCCGTCCCCAGACTCGCCCCCTGCATGGCACTCGGGACCCTGTGTGTTCCCCACCTGGAGCAGCTCAGCGCCTGGGGAACGGGACTGGGCCGGGTTGGGGGGGGGTGGCTCTGCTCACCCTGCTCTCGCCTTCTGGCCAGGAGGCCCCCAAAGAGCTTTTCGGCCGTTTGGAGCTGCAGCTGGAAGTGTGGCTGCCAGGCGGGGGCGGCGGCAGCGGCATCTCCCGTTGCTTTGTGATTCGGGGGCGGGGACCTTTGGCAGCCAGAGGTGTCCTGCGGGGGCAGGCTCGGCCTTGGGGTTGTGTGGGTGCAGGTCCTGCTGTCCGGGGCCCAATCCTGACGGGACGGCAGTCGGGACTGTGCAGCAGCCCCCATCCGAAGTGAGGCGTGCAGACTGTATCGCTCCGGAAGGAGCCCCTCAGGAAGCCCCGTGGGGAGGGACGGACGCTGCGATGAAGAGGCAAGGTGGCCCCCTCCGGGTAACTCGGGTGCGCTGCAGGGGTGCTGGCAGAGGCTCCCTGCCCCTCCCGGGGGTGGGCTCGGCACATGGGCCCACATGGCACGACAGCGAGTTCTGAGTGGCCACCGGTCAGGGCTTCCTGCGCGCGGGAGCTGCCTGCACCGCGGCGTCGCATGGCTGCCAGGGGACACGGGGCTCAACTGGGCCCCGAGAGCGGCTTCCGCACAGCGTGGGACCCCGAGCTTCTCCCCTGGGAAGGTGCAGCCGCAACACGTGCCAGTCCCTCCCCAGGGACGGGGTGCCCGGTTTGAGGGGGGAGGCCACGAGGCCTGCCCAGGGACAGGCCTTCCGGAAGCTCAAGGACGGCGGGGGGGGGGGGCAGCATGTTGATGGCACTGGGGGTCCCTGGTGGCGTGGCTGCCAGTGGCTTCCAGGCGGACGGCTCGGGCTCCTTCCAGCTGGGCGGGCGCAGCTGCTGCGGCACGTCTGGGCCCTCCGGCCGCCTCCGTGTGGACAGGACGCTGGACCAGGCGACCCTGGCCCGGTCCAGCCAAATCGGCTCAGGCCCTTAGCAAGCCCGAGGGCTGCGGCTGCCCCGGCATCAGGTCTGGGCCGTGGTGGGACAAAGAGACGGATCTTCCAGGGTGCTGGCTGCAGACCGGGCCCCCGGAGGCCCCCGGGGCACCGCGGCTCAGCGCAGGGCAGCTGCCGTGGCCCGTGACCTCCTTGGGAAACCCGGGGTGCTTCTGCTCATGCCTGAGGACGAGGCTGCAACGGCGGGTGCGGAAGCCCGTTGGGAGGGGGAGGCAGCAGGCGCGGGGGGCTCAATGCTCGTGTCCCGCCGCTCCCCCCTGGGGGCCTCGCTCAAGCTCGGTCCGCTGCCCAAAGGCTCCCCGGGCGACTCCCCAGGAGGGGCGAGCAGCCTGCTTGCTCCCATCCTGGCCCCTCCTGGGGGCCCCGCTGGTGTGGGGGGCGGCTCTGGCGAGTGCGCACCTCCCGGGGAGGTGCTGGAAGCCTCCGGCCAGGCGGAATCCAGAGGCCGCCAGCAGCAGCCTGGCTGCCAAGGGATGTGGGGGCCCCGAGGTGGCCCGGCGGCGGCCAGCCACCCCAGAGGTCTGCTGGGCTGTGCGGGGAGCCGCCTCTGGGGCCGCCGCTTCCCCTCCCGCAGGCCAGAAGGATCCAGAAGGATCCGGCTGGCCGTCTCTCCCCTCCCCTGGGGACCAGTGGGTGCGTGGGCCCCTGCCCTGCCTGGCCCGGCCTGGCCCGGCCCGCTGTGGGGGGCCGCCCGCCACCCTCCGCACCTCCTGCCTGCCTGCCTGCCTATGGGGCCTCACTCGCCTCGCTGCTGCAGAGCAGAGCAGGGTCCCCTCGGGCCCGGCCGGTGCTGTGGATTCTTGAGGCTTTTAAAAATAGAATTATGGGGTCAGCATGACTTACCAACTTGTGCCTGTGGACAGATCTATTTTAGATAGAGGAGGGGATTAAAGGGGAAAAACAGATTTAATTAAGTTGCTAATATTTAAAGGAAATGGATGAACTTGGGCTTTATGAATTGAAGCAAACACTAAAAACACCTTCATTAAGGGCAAGTTGTTATTTGATTTCCTTTTTCCCTCCATCCCAGAGTCATTTTTTATTTGTGTATCTGTGCTTTCTGTTTAATCGTTTTAATAAGGAAAATGCACCTCTGCTCACATTTAATTTTGATTTAATTAGTGGGAGGTAATTAATGGCCTCGTAAAATCCCAGATTTCTAGCCCTTTAGGGCATGGAAACAATTTCCTTTTTAACAAATGGAGCAGATGAAAGGTTTCTGTCCGCCTCCCAAACCCCCTTCTTCCGCATTGCCGTGGTGGGAAGTGGGGCAGGGGAGCTCAGCGCGTGCCCTTCCGCCCCCTGCAGTGGGCTAGGGACGGCCGGGGGGGCAGGGCAGAAGCCCCCCCCCCCACTTTGCCTCCTTCCTGGGCGGGAAGGAGGGCCCCTCCGTGGGGCAGCTTTCCCGACTAGGGCCATGAGAGAGCCGGGGGGTGCAGCGGTGAGGAGCGTGGGGATGGGACGCAGGCGGCCCGGGTTCGAGTCCCTGCTCAGCCATGCAGCCCACAGGGTGACACTGGGCCAGCCTCAGACTCTCAGCTCAGCCTACCTCCCAGGGTCGTTGTTGGAGGGATGAGAGCGGGAACAGGCAGAGGGGGAGGAGAACATTGTAAGCCACTTTGAATTCTTCAGAAGAAACAAGGCGGGATATAAATCTAAAAAATAAGCAAGCCCCCACAGAGCTGCCGTCGCCCGCCCAGTGGAGCAGCGAGGATGGACAGGAGACGAGCCGGGTGCAGCATCGGACCTCCGGGTGCCTTGGGAGGCCTGGCGGGGGGCTGCTCGGGGCTGGCGGCACTGAGGGCTGGGGCAGACCTTGCAGGCCAGCGTGCCTGCGAGACACGCTGCCTCGCGGCCGTGGGGACACGCCTGGGGGAGACGGATGGGAGGCCACTGGCTCAGTCCCCCCCCCCCCCCGGCCCCGCTCGCCGGCGTGCGCGGACTCTGTTGCCCAGACTGTGCCGCGTTCGGCTGCTTTGCCGGCTTCCCGGGCGGCCAGCGGGCGCCCCTCTTCTGCATGTGGCCCTTTGGTGGCTGGGCGGGGGCCTGGCGTGGCCCTGGGCCAGGCTGGCGGTGCTGATGGGCTTTGGCCTTTAGCCCCCCCGGCTCGGCAGTGCGGTGGGGCTGCAGCTCCCGGAGTCAGAGTGCCGGGGCCGCTTGGCAGGCCGGGCAACGGGACCTGCTTCCCGCTCGGCTTCTGCATTCCCCTTGAGCTGGCCTGGGCGGGCACGTCGCACTCCCACCCCTTGCTCTTCCCCAGCCTGCCGCGGGCCGCTGGTGCCTGGCCTTCAGCAGAGCCGGCCAAGGGTGGGGGGATGGCGGTCGTGGCAGTCAGCAACCCCCCCGCCTGCCCACCCAGTCCCCCCGGACCGCCTGGGGCAGGTACTGCTCCCCCGATGTGGGGGGCAGGTGGGTGGGGAGCTGGGTCTGCCTGGCTCTGCTCCCCAGCCCCTTTGCCCACAGTGGCCCCACCCTGAGTCCCTGGCCACTGCTCCCGGCACTCATGGGGTGCTCACCGGGAATCCGGCCCCGGGTGCCGGTGCAGCGGCCTCTAGCGGCACGGGGCAAGGGACCAGCTCGACGGCTGGGGGACGGGGGGGGGGGTCGCTGGCAGGCCTGACCACAGCACTGCCTTGTGGACTTTCTCCTGCGGCCCCCTTTGCGGGGCTGCGCCTTGGGCCCAAAGCACTCGCAGGCTCCTCGTGGCCCAACTCTCTTTGCGGGAGCGGGCTGAGCGGGAGGGGAGGTCGGTCAGTACTGGAGAGACGGATCCTGGAAGGCCACCCCCCCCCCCCGTTGCCTTCAGAAGCAGACCACCATGGGGGGGTGGGGGGCTCCCAGTCTGACCTGGCTTGATGCCCATGCAAAGCTTGGGCATCACCAGCAGGGAGTGGCACGACCTCCTCATGGACCCCGCCAGCCCCTCTGCGCCCGCCACCTTCAGCTGAATCGGATCTCCTGAGGTTTCCAGATAATTTTCCAGCAAACATTAGATTAATTTGCATTTTGTCATTTGGATAGGAAAATTTTCCGTTTGCATTGGAAAACATTCTGATCATAGAAGAATGGAGTTGGAATTGGCCCTGAAGGGGGGCATCGGCCCAACCCCCTGCTGGCACAGGACGCCAAGGAAGATCTAATTTAGCATGTTTATCTTGCTTGTATTCAGCTAGAAGCTAAACAAAACTTTTTAAAAAGACCCCGTTTTTTTATCTCAATACACCACAAGTATTTTTACCTGAAACATTCGAGGGGGAAAAAATAAACCACATGTAATTGGATTTAAATGTTACATTGTATAACTTATTTTGTCAGAATGCTTGTAAAAATAGAATGGTAATAGCATGAATTTTGCTTACTTTAAGTTTAGGGAAGAAACAAAGGGGCTGGTGACCTTTGGCAGGGCTGAGGCCTGGGCGCCGTGTGATGCGGCCGCCCGCTGCTCTTCCGGGGGCGCCTTCGGCTTTGCCGACTGTTCCGCAGGTCCCTCTCTCGCTGAGGCACAGGTGTATTCCAGGGACACCTGTATCTGCTCTCTCAGACTTGCTAGGAATAATCACCTGGAAAACATTAATTACAGCGCTGAAACTGCATGCTTGCCTAGGACTGTATTTGCAGTTGGCACGCATACATTTTTAATACTGAATTTATGAAATGGAAATTTTTCTGGAAGCAAGTTCCATTTGGAAAAGCTTTCACAGAAAGTGTTCTGTCCCGCAGAAAAGTTCTGTGCTTTGTGCTGGTGACTTAAGCCCGCTGAACCCAGCATTGCCCTGGGGGGCGGGAGAGAAGGCGCCGCTGCCCCGCTGGTGCCGCAGCCCTGCAGGGGATCGGCAGGGGCTCGTGTGCCCCCTCAGGCTCCTCGGCAGGCTCTTCTCTCCAGGGAGAAGGCCACGTGCCGGCCACTCGCAGCGGCTGTAGGGCACTCCCGGCTGGACGCCTCATATGCCGCTTGCTGGGGGGGCCAGAGCAGGAGGGGGCCGTTGCCCGAACCCTGGCCCAGTCATGCCCCCCCCCCCCCCGTGGGCTGCTGCTTGGCCTTTGCAGGTGCAGAATGCTGGACCGAGGGGGCCCCCGTGGCCTGATCCAGCGCCACCTCTGATGCCCAGGCCACGGGTGTGTTGCTCCAGCAGCCTCTCTTCATGGGACTTCGTTGCCCCTCGTGCAACCTGCCCCAAACCGAGGGGGACTGGGCCCGGCCTGACGGTGAGCCCCCGCTTTGCCTGCAGGAGGGCCAGTGGCCCGTTTGATCTCCGGCAGCCTCTCCGGAGAACGCTGGGAAAGGCTCCCGCCCGGGACGCTGTTGTTGCCAGCCAGAGTGGGCAGCTGGGGCCGGATGGCCCAGCCCACGGCGCCTTCCAGGGCTCCTTCCAGTGGGTGCCGCCCTCCAGGCCAAGCCGCCGGGCACTCGTGCCGTCCCGGTGGCCTCCTGGCAGTGGCGGCGTCTGGGCGGAGGGCCTGAGCGCCAGTGCCCAGGCACCTCTGCCTTTCCTGGCTTCATCTGGCAGGAGAAAAGGTCTCTTTTTTTGACTGGGTTCCCTCCCAGATGGGCAGAGGGCGCACTGTGGACACAGCTCGCCTCGCCTCGTGCAAAGCTTGTGACCCCCCCGACGAGCACGTCAGCCGAGCACGCTGCACACTGCAACCCTGAGGTGGGTCCAGGATGGGCCACAGAGCCAGGCTCCAGGAGGGCCCATTGACGGCGCCTCCTCAGACTGGAGGGGAGTAACTAGCGGGGTGCTGTGGGGTTCAGTCCTGGGCCCGGCACTCTGCCTCATCTTCATGGTTTAGGTGGTGCAAAACTGGCTACAGTAACGACCCTCTGGAAGACAGAATGGAGATCCAGGGCGATCTTAATAAACCTTAACACTGGGCTGAAAGCAACAGAGCGAGATTCAGTAAGGACAAGGGCCAAGTCCTCCACCGAGGAAAAAGAGACCGAGCACAGAGATACAAGATGGGGAATACGTGGCTCAGCAGATGTGAGAGAGAAGAAGATCTCAGAGTAATTGTGGGCAACTGGAGAAATACCAGCCAAGGACGTGAGGCAGCTGCACAGAGGGCCAGTGCTCTTTTGGGATGCGTTAACAGAAGTATGACTCCCAAATCACAAGTAGCAGTACTCCCCCTTTACTCCTCACTAGTCAGACCTCACCTGGAGTCCTGTGTTCTGTTTGGGGCACCAAGATTTAAGAAAGATGCAGAAAAATTAGAAGGGGCCCCGCGGAGGGCGGCAAACGTGATCCGGGTTTGGAAACTGCCCTACGAGGAGAGGCTGAGAGATTGGGGCATGTTCAGCCTTGAGGAGAGAAGGATGAGGGGGACCTGATATCTCCCTGCAAGTACCTCCAAGTGCAGGAAACGGAATGATCTGCTCGAGTTGCATCATCCCAGGTTCTGGCTAGATATTGGGAAGAGTTTCCGTACTGTCAGAGTGACATGACAGGGGAAGCAGCTGCCTGGTTGTGGGCTCCCCAGGCTAGAGACATTTAAAAGAAGGAAGGAAGGAAGGACGGAAGGACAGAAGGAAGGAAACCGGGCACACCTCCGAGTGCAGTGGTGTGAACTGGTGTCCTGCCCCTGGGGGGGTTGTGCCGGGGGGCCTTCCTGGCCCCTCCGACTTGGCCGTTCCTGATTCTGTGGGAGGAGCGAGGGCAATGCAGAGGGGCAGCCCCATGGGGGGGGGGGGGGTGTGGGGGGGGCCGGGGGGGGGGAGGGGAAGTCCCATTTCTGTTTCATGAATTTGATTTATACGGCACTCAACTGAAAGTGGCTTCGGAGCAGCAGTGACTCCAAAAAAGTCACTTTCCGAGGGCATGTAGCAGGGGGTGGGCCCGGCGGCCCCCGGTCCTTTCCAGCTCCGCCAGGCTCGGATTCTGGGAACCTGCCCAGAGCGGAAGCTCGCTGGCCAGCCCCTTGCCCAGAGGGCCTCTTCCTTGCCAGCAGCCAGCGTCAGGTTCCTGGCCCTCATCCAGGCCAGCGCTGAGCCTAGGCACCGGTCCAGGGCTCGTACGGCCTCTCTGATTCAGATGTCACAGGGAGACAGGGCCGCGTGCCGCCGGCATGCCAGCCGCACGTGCTCAGGAGCCCCCGTTCCTCCCCAACAGCGTGACCGACGTTGTGGGGCTCAGAGCACAGGGGCCATGGGGCTGGGGGGCAGCCCTCCCGGGCCGGTCTCTGAAACCAGCCCTTTGCGGTGGGGCATCGCCTCACGCTCTGCTGTGGATTCGGGGCAGGCGGGCCGCGTCCTCTCGTGCTGGCCGAGCGCTCCCTCGTTCGTTCACCCGGGCTCCCATCTTCGCCGGGAGGCTGGGGTGGGGGGGGCGTCCCTTGGGGCAGCTTCCTGTGCATCCTCTCCAGGGGGCTGGCCGGGGCTTCCTCCCCGTTCCCAGTGAGGTAAATAGAAACATAAACTGAGCCTAACAAGACAAATATAACGAGAGGCTCATAAAAAGTGGCAGAGGTGGTATAAATTCTGGCTGCTGGAGCCATGTGAGTGTCTGGAGGTGGATTATGGAACTGCCGTTTGGAAGATTGAGTGGCCCATAAGCATTTTCATATTTCATTAGCCGATTAATGGACGGCTCGCTTTTCCAGCAACTTTGCTGATTCTCAGCAAAAAATGTGGGGAGTGAATGAAGGCCCCCGATGATGCTCTTCCGGGGGCTGGCCCTGTTATGGATGGTCCCAATTAACGTCTGGTGCCGTGAGCTGGATTCTGCCCGTCCAGTTACCGTTAATAGATTTCTCATAAGTGGCTGGATTGTAAAAACCTCATCACTCACTTTAATGCCACTAATAAAATTATCTCCGGACGTCTGGCCCGGATTCCAGGCACTCAGGGGCCACGGTGAGCTCCCGCCGACCCTCGCGCTCCTGGCTGCAGGATCCCAGGCTGCACGGCGGGGGCCAGGGCCGCCCCGGTTCCTGCCTCAGAATGGCTGGCCTGGGCAAGGGGGGCGGGGCCTTGCCTCAGGCCCATCCTGGGGGGCATCGGGGGCTTATGGCCCACTCCAGAGGGGGCAACAGTCCCTGCCCCCTGCCACGTGCTTGCTTGGAAGCCCCAGCCCTGCAGGGATGAGCTGCGCCCGGCCGGGGCTGCCAGCCTGCAAGGCGCAGCGCAGACGTGCAGGTTGGGGGAGCCGAGTCCGGATCCTGCCTTGGCCCCAGGCCACTCAGCCTTGGGTCCTTCTCTGAAATGGGAAGAATGATGACCCCCCTCCCCTGGTTGCAGCGGCTTGGGGCAGGGCTGCAGCCCATGGGATGCTCCCGAATCTGCAACAGGTGACTGGATCCTGCGGCAGCCCCAGCCAGAGTCCGCGCCAGGGGCAGGACAGAGGCTGCAGCGGGTTGGGTCTTGCCCAGCCCGCCTCTTTGCATCAGAAGGGAGAGGGGCAGGGGGCCGAGCAGCGGAAGCCCTTTGCCCACAGGGGGCCGACATGGCAGCTCCTCGCTGAGTTCCGAAGCGCACTGGGCTTTGCATGCTTGGGGGCCTGGAACCTGGTGCCCCCCCCGGCCCTGGGGGCATGGCGAGATGTGGGGCGGGCCAGCATCTGCAGCCTGTATCTGGGAGGGGGAACAGAGGTGTGCACAGGGGGCATGGCAGGACTGCCCACAGAGCCGGGTCCCGAGCTGGGCTGCCCAGCAGCGGCCCTCGGCCGGTCCTTGGGGCTCACGGTTGCCGTGATCTTGCCCAGCTGGTGACCTGCTGGCTCCTGCTGGCTGCATGCCCATCTGCTTCGGTTTTGTGTTTAAAAAGGATTTTAGCTTGATCAGATTCTAGGGAATTTCACTGTGTTGCTTTTATGAACAGTGGTGACTCCCCCAGAGAGCTTTGGCTATTTGCGGTACGGAAGTGAAATTAAGAGCAATGAGATTAATAAGACCAGTTTGGATTTCTGTGGCTTTGAGGGCGGAATCCTGCTTCCCCCGAAGCAGGGGGAAGATGTTCCACCCTGGATTCCCCGGAGGAAAAGCGCTTTCCGGGCGTGGGAAGCCAGCGCTGTGTCTGCAGCACCTCAGCAGGTTTGGCGCCAGCAGCTCCCGGCCAGAGGAGCGCAGGGCAAGCGCAAGCGCAAGCAAGCCGGGCACTGCTGGGCCGGCCGGCCGCCAGGCTCAGCCCCGGAGGAAGGGCGCCTGCGCACGCCGCAGAGCCGTGCCTGGCGGCAGGCCCGTCCTGCTCCAAGAAAGGCCCTTCGGGGGCTCAGGGGGCTGCCAGCATGCTACGGGGGCCGCTCCCCCGCCCCGCTCCGGCTGCCCCTTCTGGCCCCAGCCTCCCCTCCGTCCGGCTCTGTCCTGCCCAGATTCACTCGGACTCTGATGCCGGCGACGGCGCCATCAAGTACACGATCTCTGGGGAGGGGGCCGGCTCCATCTTCCTCATCGATGAGCTGACGGGAGACATCCACGCCACCGAGCGCCTCGACCGCGAGCAGAAGACCTCCTACACGCTGCGGGCGCAGGCGCGGGACCGCCAGACCGGCCAGCTGCTGGAGCCCGAGTCGGAGTTCGTCATCAAGGTACAGGACATCAACGACAGCGAGCCCCGGTTCCTGGGGGGGCCCTACATCGGGAGCGTGGCGGAGCTCTCCCCCATCGGTGAGTCCCGTGTGCTGCACCTCCCGCGTCCAACCCTCCCCGTGCCCCACCAGCCTCAGCACCCCCATGGGCTCCGTGGGCTGAGGCCACCTGCCAAGCGCCCCCCGGGCAGGGGGAGGAGGCGCGAGGTGTCCGCCCTTGCTCCTGCCCCACTGCAATCCTCCCCCTACCCAGAGCATGTGAGCCTTCACCGGCACCCGCGGACCCAGGGGCGGTCCTTGCGGTCCGGGCCATTGGGGTCTCCTCACATCACATGCCCCCCGCCTCCCTGGGCCAGAAGAGCAGGCCGAGCCCCCGTCCAGCAGGTTCTGTGCTCGGGCCCGAAGAGTCGCCCGCCCTTGCCAGATCAAGGTGGCAGAGAGCTCCGTGCCCGAGAGGAGGCAGCGTCCTGGACCTGGAGGGCGGAGTGGCCACCTCGCCGAGGAGCCGGGGCAAGGCCGGCCCGGGCCGCATTGGTCCCGGAGCGGAGAACCCCGTCCTCCCCAGACAAGGCACACGGGCTCCGGGCAAGTCCTGCGTGTGCTGCGCCCAGGCGCCAGCGAGCCGGCGGGAGGGAATGGGGTGCGCGCTGTAGCACTGCGGAGGAGACTTGAGGCCCGCCCCCCTGGATGCCCATGGGAGGAGCAGCCGTCCCCTGCCCCGAACGGCTGAGGCGTCCTCTGCAGGCGTTGGGGGCAGGTGGTGATGAGGCAGCCCCGGAGTCCCGGTTCGGGGAGTGCGTGGAGGTGTGGAATGGCCTCCGCTGGAAGCAGCTGAATTCGCCCCCCATCCGGGATGTGGAGCCTCCCACCCACAGGCTGGATGGGGCGCGCCACCCTCCCCACGGCCTCACTGCTGCCTGGTGACCCACCGTGAGAGATCCGCTGCTCCCGCCCCATCCCCGGGGCCACGGGAGGCTCGTTGCAGGGTGAGGGGCCCTTTTGGGGGGGCCCTGCCCGGGAGGAAGGGCTGCCCTCCCCTCCAGTGCGGCGGCCTCTCCTTGCAAGGTCACCCCTCCCCTGCCAGTGCTGCGGGTGATCCGTGCATCTGGCTGGGGCACATGTGCCCGTGTGCGCAGGACTGGGGCTGCTGGGCTGGGGTGGCTGGCCAGCCGCAGCAGCCCTCCTGCCTGGGGCGGGGCCGGCAGCATGGCTGCTGTTGCCAGCTCAGCCCGGGGCTCGGAGGCGTCCGGCCCTGCGCTGGAGGGCCGGCCAGGGCGGCAGCAGCAGCCTGAGGCTCGGTGCTGGGGAGCGAGGCCGCTCTCGGGCAGGCCGGGGACCGCGTGATCCGCTGCTGCGGTCGGCGCCACAGACACCCCGCGCACACCTTGCTGCGGGGAGCCTGTCGAAGGCACCCTGCGCCCCGTCGGCTTTGGGGCCGGGGCTGGGGTTGTCGCCTGCCCCTTGAGCATTGTTCCCAGAGGGTGGTGGGGAAGCGTCTCTAACATACCATGAATAAAAACAGATGAGGAAGCTGCGCTCAGTGGCAGAAGACCCTGGGGACTTGGCAGCATTGATGGGAACTGACGTCGTCGCTGAGGGCCTCGTGAATCCCCGGCCCGCGCCACGTGGGGTGGGAGGTGCGGGTACACCGAGGGCAAGGGGCGGCCCGGGCGCTGCCTGCCGAGCGCGTCTCCAGAAGGCCGTGCTGGCTGTTCTGCGGCTTCGCTCTGCTGTAGCATCGGCGCCTTCTTGTGCCCGGCCTCCTGGGAGTCCCTTCCCCTTGGAGCCCGAGTGACTGGCCTGCACAGAGCTGGCAGCGGCGCCTGTGTGCAGGGCCTGCGGCGAGCGAGAGGACACGGCAGGGCTGCGCCAGGTGCGGGCTCCGGAGTGGCCCGGCCTCCTCGCGCTCCCGCCCGGGCTGCGGCTGCCGGCTTTCGGCCTCCGCTGACACACTGCGACTTCCTTGGGCATTGACGGTGCAACTGGAGGAGCCTTTGGGATCGCACGCTGACTTCCCCTGCAACCACACATGGTTGTGCGTTCGCCAGAAGCCTGAGGGCAGCAAGGAGCACGCCCTCCACTTCTGGTCGATCTCCTGCCCAAGCAGGAGCTGCGCATGGAGGACGCGGCCCGACGGAGGCCCCGAGTCTGAGAAGTGTGCGCACCAGCGCTGACTCTGGTGTTTCTTCACCTTGTGTGGGAATTTCTTTCCATGCTCCACTGAGCACCTCAGTTTTTTCCCTCGTCTGTTGGTCTGTAGATGGTATTTTATCTTTATCCCGGTATTTTATACGGTACTGCATAGCAGCCCTTTCAGAGTAGGGTGTAGACAAGCACACCTGTACTTCTAGGAGCTATGAGAATGTTTTCCAGAAACAGGCGAACTGTAATCCCCAGTCTGAGAGTATGTTAGGTAGGCATGGTGGGCAGGACATGGAGCGGAGCTGGATGGAGCCGGGGGTCAGACTAGATGGCCTGGGAGGCTCCGTCTTGCTCGCTCTGCTTCTGTGTTGTCTGCCAGTCCATCTGCATGGAGTTCCTATTCAGTGAACAGCCGGGGACTAGGCAGGGGCTGGAGGAAGTCTGGGGTCTGTGGCACGGTGTCTGTTCTGGGAGCAAAGGTCCGGGAGTGGCGCATGGAGCTGAAGTCGCATCAGGCAGATGGCTGCCAAGATACCGGCTCGTGGGCTGAGAGGGCGGAGGATTCCACATGAATGCTCTGCTGGGACTGCGTTGGCCAAGGAGGGCTGGAGGAGAAGCATCGCTCGGGCTGCCAGAGTCTAGAACGGGAGTGCGGCAGCGAGGGCCTTGATGGACCAGCGGGAGGACGTGATCTTGCAGGCGACCCCTTGGATTCTCCGGCAGAGGTCGGTTCGTTGTGGTCGGCATCGCTTCATATGGATCCAGCCAGAGGCCGCTGGGAGGGAGGGAGGATGTCCCCGAGGGTTTCCGCCTTCCCGTGACTTAAGGCCCCCTGTCCCGCCTCCCCCTCATTTGCCTTATCGGTCAATTCCATCCCAGAGCTGCACCAGGCTACAGCGCTTGGGATTTCTGGAGAAAACTAGTCAGCGAACAAGATGCGCCACCACAACGCAGCCGTTGGGCACATCATTGAAAAAATGTCGGGCGGTTTTAGCGGCATTGCAGAGAGCGAACAGCGTCATCCTCCCTCTTGCGGGCTCGCAGCATGCGAGGTCGACAGCCTGCAGCAGCTTGGTCACCACTGGGAACCTTCTCGATGTCAAGTGCTGTCAGGTGGCCTCCGAATTCTGGCAACCCTGCACACGAGCGCCATCCAAAATGCCCTCTCCCTGTGCCAGCATCTGGGAGGCGGGCAGTGGAGTCACAGGCCCGGGCACAAGGACCCAGGCAACCAGACCAGTGGCCACACATTGACCCCAGTCAGGTCCAACAATCCACAGTCACGGCCGGGAAGGGCAGAGACGCGAGGCAAGAACAGGCCAGCAAAGAGCAGCGTAGCCAGGGCTGCGCGATCAGAAGCAGGCAGAAGGTAGAAACGGGTGAAGCAGGCGAACAGCAGGGGATCGCTGGGGATCAAGGCAGGGGCAGGAGCAGAATCCAGGAGCAGGAACTCAGGTAGCAATAACCAGGAAGCAAGCAGGGAACTGCACAAGGGCAAACTGGGAGATCGCGGTTGCCAAGATAGCTTCTGGAGAGAACATACAGTCCCCTGGCACCTCGGCTCTTGGTTCACAAATGAAACAATGGGGTCATGAGAAGAAATCTTGGAAAAATTTTGACCTGGGTCTCAAACACCACTCTGGGTGGCGACCAAGATTGCAGCCATCTCATCCTCCTCCCCAAAAGTGGGAACATGGCCACGATCCCAGTTACTTTCCTGCAGGAGTATGAAGTCCGGGCCCAATTCAAGGTGTTGGTGATGACCTATAAAGCCCTCAACGGCTTGGGTCCTGGTTACCAGAAGGAGCGCTTGCATCCATATATGCCTGACCGCCCCTTGAGATCTGCGGGAGAGGCCCTTCTCCAGGAACCCTCCGTGAAGGAAATTAGGAGGGTAGGTACTCGGAGGAGGGCTTTCTCTGCGGTGGCGCCCAATCTATGGAATGTGCTCCCCAGAGAGGTCCACCTGGCGCCATCGTTCTTTGCTTTTCGGCGCCAGGCAAAGACTTTTTTATTCAAGTGGCATTTTAAATGTTAATATTATTGGATTTTATCTGGCCAGGGCGGCTTGTTTTATACTGTATTGTTGTATTTTTAATTTAATATTTATATTTTAATTTATATTATTATTATTTAACTTAGTGATGTAAGCCGCCCCGAGGCTTCGGCGAATGGGGCGGCATAAAAATGTATTAATAACTAACTAAATAAATAAATGATAAGAGGCGCACTGCTGCAGGACAGACAGGCGAAATCTTGGCCATCGAGCTCACGGTTCCGCTTTGCTGCTCCTGTCCTTACTTCCTTGAGTAGCTTTTCCTGCAAAGCTCATCATTTCCACCCATTCCAAATGCATTCCAGCCATCGAAATCATGCCAGGACCCCTCGTTTGTCTAACCCCAACCCTAAACCGCTCATACATGTTGCTGAGACACATGGCATGAACCTGTCAAGGAGACGTCTGCAGAATGTTCTTTTTCTAAATTTGATTTGTAAAGCTTGGGAATCCTGCAACAGTGTGTACATTTGGCACTTTGATACCTAGTAAATATTGGATGGCGTACTTTACTATTTTTGTAATGTTTTTTTGTGCCTTTTGTAACTTTTGTACTATGTTTTTATTTAAACAAAAAATTTAACATAAAAAAAAAAATTCAACCTACCCTGGGGCACATTGCTAACCCTAATGTAGGGCTGAAGTTCCATTAAAAGGGGTGATTTTGAAAAAGCCCTTCTTAGGTAGGTTTTTCAACACAGCTCATCATTTCTGCCCAATCTAAACGCATTGCAACCATCGAAATCAGGCCAGAACACCTCGTTTTCCTAACCCTAACCCTACCCTGGGGCACACCCCAACCCTAATAGAGGGCTGTAGTTCCATTGAAAGGGGCCATTTTGAAAAAGCCCTCCTTGGGTAGGTTTTTCTACGCAGCTCTT